AACACACACACACACACACACACACACACACAATTTATATACATACGGAAAGAAAAAAAGACCATCAACAAAAAAAGAGATTAACACATACACATTTTTCTGAGCATAATTACTTTTGATTACAAGTAGATCATTTAAAAAACAACAACTAAACTACAGTAACTATCTATTCTGGATATGATAAAAAGCAACACCCCCACCCCACCCCCACCCTTTTTTTCCTCCTGGAAAAAAGCTCAGATTAAGAAACTTCAAATGAAAATTCTCACAAGTTCAGCAACATGGAAGAGTATGCCTATTTCTAGGGGAGTACTAGAACCAATTTAGTTTTAAATTTCAATGAAGGAAGCGAACAGCAAACAGGGCAGACGTTCCAAGATTGTGTTTTAGTTTAACATGAGTTTTGCGGCACTTGCAGAACAAAAAATGTCATTTAGGTGCCGAATATTCGAGTCGTTACGAGAATGTATTGTACAAAGTAAAGAAATTAAAGGATGCGAGATATCAATAATACATGTTTGACTGGAAAAAAGGAGTAAATCCCACTGAAACGCCTGTGGCCAACCTCTCACGATAAAACTATCCCAAATGGAGGCAAATCCTGTTTGAAATCAATCAAACAGATTTGAAAATGTACATAAATATGTCGGTAATCGGTTTGAATGTTATTGATCTTTTGATCTCAAACAGACAAACCCACAAGAACACATACATATTTAATATATACAATTAATCGTTTCGAATGACGTTATTGTTAAACTGCTTCCTCTCCACACATCTGATCTGGAATGCTTCGGGCGGCATTGTGACCCCGAACACGCCATTGATCGGAGGTAAGTTGGACGGGTCGGCGGGCAGGAACTCAAAACGCTGGAACATTGTGGACAGGTACAGGATCAGCTCCATCTGGGCTAGGGCTTCTCCTAGACACACTCTCCGGCCTGGGAGGGAGAGAAGACGGGAGGATGAAATAGAAACCAGATGCGTTAGTTGTAGTAAGAGTTTTACGGCACTTGCAGTACAATAAAGTCATATAAGTGCCGAAGATTAGAGGTGCTACAAGGGAGTAATAAATACAAAGAAAAGAAGTAGGGGAGATCAGGACGATAAATATTTGATAGGAACGAAGGAGCAAATCACACCAGAGCACCCGACAACCACCTGCAAACCAGGCTCAACAAATACCTTGAACTGCTGCACAGATAGATAGATAGATAGATAGGTAGATAGATAGATAGATAGATAGATAGATAGATAGATAGATAGATAGATAGATAGAGAGATAGATAGATCCTGCTCTAACTGACACCTGTCCAAGACATTGATCTGTACAAACGTCACTTCCCACTTCACCCACTTCAATAAAGAAAAAGAAAAGAAAGAAAAAGAAAAGAAAAGGACTTACATGTTCACCAAGTCTAAACAATTTGCAGCTTTCGAGTGGTACAGGTGCAAATTATCGATTATGTTGCCGGAAATCAAGCTTAGTGCGTCTTTCAGTGTAGTTATGTAGTGCCTGCTTCACACACATCAAGTTTGTTATGGGTAATTCAACTTCGGCCAAATTAGCATTCTAGCATTCAAAAGAAACACGACGCCACCGTTTAAAAAAAATTTTTTTTCTTAGTACCCACCCAACTCTTGCAATGTTAGAGCTAATGGCCTAGTGGAAAATAGCTGCCGTCACTGTACGGGTATAGGGTCACGGTTACAGCACAATATCGTTGGTAAGGTATTCAGCGGTTCTGAGCCTAGAAAGCAAACCGTTTCATGAGAGGGTAGAAAAACTGTTTCATTCTTTAACAACTGTACTTAGATCTAGATCTATAATAATTTTGTTCGTTTGTTTGTTTGTTTTTTAGCTTTTTTTCAAAGCTTTTAGAATCTGAATTTCAAGACATTTCTCGAGCACAGGCAACATAAATCATAGATTATGAAACACATTTTTTGAACAAATCAAAATAATTTTTAATTTTGGTTTAGTAATCTGAACAGTTGGCTGACGATATGAGGGTCCGCTGTTTATAAGTCACAGTGAGTCCAACTGGTTAGCATGTTGAAAGAATTTTTTGTGGGGGGGTTTTCATGTCCCCATCGACACAATTTATATCATTTAGGGGGCAGGCCTCTACCCTGTCAGTCAAGGCCAACCTGGGCTGAGAGAGATAAATCGTTAATAGGAAGACTAAAATACTCGATGAAATTTCTCCCGATATGGGAATCGAAAAGATGTCATTACAGCTTTTGCGCTTGCTTTGTCTTGAATAAAGTTAGAGATTAATGGCTTTGTTTTAAATGTCTTGAATGAGCATTATCTTCTTTCTCTGTACAAACGTAGATGGAAGCGTCTCAACAATGAAGAGGTTGGGAACTGTAGCCTACACATTATCTAATGTTTTTAGTTTAGTTTAGAAAGAGTTTTATGGCACTTGTAACACTATCAGGTCATATAAGTGCCAAAGATTAGAGGTGTTACAAGACAGTATCATCCAGACAAGAGAAGGAGGAAGGATCAGGACGATAGATGTTCGATAGGAAAGGAGTAGCAAAACAATGAGAACACCCACCAACCACCCACTTACCCAATGAGAACGGGATCAGCTCTTCTTTCTTCACAATGTTCCCTTGGGAGTCCAAAAATCTCTCTGGCCGGAAGTTCTGAGGATCTCCCCAGACTTTTTCATCCATGAGTGCAGAGTACAGATTGGGCACTACGATGGCGCCTTTGGGAATGACGTAACCTCTGAGTTCAGTGTCCTCTGTGACCATGTGGGTCAGGCTGGGGAGGGGGGTGGGAGGAGAAAAGACAACGTCCACGCTGATTACTACCAAAGATTGTACATAACAAGATAGTTCACTCAGCCAAAATAGTGCCCGCGGAAGTCCACGCACTGGTTCTCAGTCTCAGATGGCGCTGCAGTCTTTGCTTTGAAGCTCTCTTTCGTTTCTCCAGAAATATAGGAATAGCACTTTTTGTTAGTTTCGCTTTTATTGTTTTTCACACAAGTATGGTAACTGTTCGCAAAGTCTGCACTTTTTCGAAGAGGGTGCCACCGAATTTTGAGGACACTTTATTAATTGACTCAAAGAGAGGAGTGAACTTTCTTGTTATACATTATCTTTGTTACTACCTAACTGTAATGATTTTAGCAGGACCTGCACCCTGTTCTCCTTAGTTGTCGTCTCGAAAAGAAAAAACAAGACAAAGCTCATCAACCAAGTGCAAGTGTTTCGAGAACTGGACTTAAAAACATAATATTATTATTATGTCCTGACAAGAAAGGAAAATAGGTAAAAGTACAGAGAAAACTTAACTAAATCAGCCACAACTGCCAACCTCCAGTAAAAGAAAATGCCTAAATTGGCATAGTTCTCAGACTTCAGGTCAACATGCCGCACCCCACTCCTGTGATTGTCAGATTATGTGATGGGGCTAATAATGAATTATAAACTTTCATGTCCTATTTTTAAAAAGTCATACAATGTTGTTTTCCATCAAAGTATCCGGAACCTATCAGAAAAATCTCTTAAACAACGGGCATACACAGGCTTACATTTTCACTTTCATGTTTTTTAAAACTCTGTTACTCTTGAAGAAAGGCATGGTCTTCTAGTTGTACACAAATGTAAGTTTAGACGTATCATTTTTTCTTTAAAAAAAAACAAAACCCTCATGTTGTGGTAACAGGGACGCATCTATGACAGCTATGGTGTAATATTGTCTCCAAAATAAACTGAATGACAGGAGATACTTTGAGCTCACCTCAGGGGTACAATGTTGGCCAATCTCAGAGTTTCGTAGATCACGGCTTGCAAGTACTTCAGTTTAGGTTTATCCTGCATGGTTGGGACACGGTGTGTTCCGATGTGTTCGCAGATTTCTTTGTAAATCTGGCGTGATACAAGAAATAATCGTATACATTACTTTGTTCTTCGGTGTCGGATATATTTTCTTAATTGTACGCTCAGTATAACCCTTTATAAGAGAAGGAAGAACAAAAAAGAGGAAGAAGAAAGGGGAGTAAAAACCAAAGAAGCATAAATGAAGAAATTTATTTTTTTCATTTGATTAAAGGTGGTCGAACGTCACTAAGGCACTGAATACCCGATCGGGGTTGGTTTTTGTTTTGTTATAGTTTTTTGTTTTGGGTCGGGTTTTTTTTTAAGGAAGAGGTAACGCTGGGTATGGATAATGAGAAGTCATATAAAGCATCTAGATCTACTTGAGGTATAATATCCTAGACCTGGCATTGCTATAACTGCCGCTCCTCACTCTCTTTAAAGAAAACTTCGCTGAGCTAGTGTACACCATGGACGCACACGAAGGACTAAACGCCAGTCTCACTATAGTCGAGTGCGAACAAAATCTTTTTCCCTTTCCTTCATTTGGTTAGAGATAAAAATCAGATGGTGCTCTCCATGATGATGATGATGATGATGATGATGATGATGATGATGATGATTGATGATGATGATAATGATGATGATGATAATGATGATGATGAAGACGATGATGATGATGAGGATGATGATGATGATGATGATGATGATGATGATGATGATGATGATGATGATGATGGTGATGGTGGTGGTGGTGGTGGTGGGGAACCAAAACTACGCCAGAGCACACACTCTGGGATATTATTTTTAAAAAAACACAACACCAGTCTGTGGATAAAAGACACACTTGGTGTTCACGCACCTTTTCCTGCACGTCAGGATGGTGCAGAAGAAAAAGGTAGCACCATAAGATGGTGGAAGCCGTTGTTTCTGTGCCGGCTACGAAGAGGTTGGCGATCACACGGGTAAGGTTCTTCTCTGTGGAGAATATCGATGGGCACAATGGCCAAATGAATTATATAATTATTATTGCTGCTCGTTTATAAAACACATGCCATTAATCATCATCATCATCAACACCATCATCCTGATGATTACATTAATAAAATTAATATTCATGATAATAATGATAATAACAAGAATAATGATATAGCGCATATCCATTCTCTGCATAATTGCGGCTGCTGTTGTTGCTGCTGCTGCCGATGATGATGATGATGATGATGATGATGATGATGATGATGATGATGATGATGATGATGATGATGATGATGATGATGATGATGATGATGATGATGATAAAAAGAAATCAGTTCTCACCATCTAGATATGTGTGGACACCCGAGTCCTGTTTTTTCTCCATATCTCGCCTGTAGGCTGCCACAAAACTATCCATGACCTCCGGGTCAAATCCTTCCAGCCGTTCCTTCACAATACTTTCCCTGTTGTACCATAAATACATGGACCATAAAGCAATCACAGCACTTTATCTATGGTACCATAAACATGGACCAAAAAGCAAACTTGTCATGGGCCATGTTCTTAGTTTATAAATAAATCCAAAAAGAACAACAACAACAAAAACTTCACTGACAAATCACAGAAAGAGCATTCCAGACCTATCGTCTACCTACTGTTCAGATGTAATAAGCCAAAACTTTGGGGTTTGTTTTAAAATTAAGGCCTAGTTTCAAAATTTTAAAACCTAACTGTCGAAAAAGACATGAAAAGACACATTAAACAGGTAGAATTATTTTCTTATCCTTACTCTAAAACCTTAAATAAGCCTTGACACCACAGCACATTGTATTGGCCACTTGGAGGGTTAAATAATGGGTTGTTTTTGTTGTGGGATTTTTTTACCTGCATGAGAGTTTACAATGTAAAAGTGACGAACGAACACATGTATACACTGAATAAACTTGCTCAACTTGGCCACTGCCAATCAGTAAACTTACGTGAAGTCGCGGGATTCTTTTATGATGGCAATCAGTTGCTGTACTCCAACAAAGTCAATCGGTGAGTACAACAGAAAGGGGAAGAACTGGAAGGCCGAGGTTGATGCCGATGTCTTGACCTGGGAATGGAGAAATACGGCCAGGGGTAGAGGTGGGGGGAGGGAGGGGAGCGGAATCATGTTCGTGTTTTAGGTTTGTCCTTATTCTTTTTGTGTCCGTTCTGCTGTAAATAAAAGTGAGGCTGCTGTGTAGTTGTTAACAATGTTGTTGTTATTGCTGTGGTTATTGTTGTTATTGTTGTTGTTGTTGCTGTTATTGTTCTTGTTGTTGTTGGTGGTGATAATGAAGATGGTGACTATGTTGTTGTTGTCGTCATCGTAGTTGTTTTTGCAGATGTTGCTATGAAATGATGAACACAAACACACACACACGCACACACACACACACACACACACACACACACACACACACACACACACACACTCACATTCACACACACTCAGACACAACGAAGTAGGTGGTTGGCAGGTGCTCTGGTGTGGTATGCTTCTTCTTTCCTATCAAACATCCATCGTCCTTATCTGTCCTCCTTCTTTTTTGTTTTTGTTACTCTCTTGTAACACCTCTAATCTTCG